GGCGGCGACCACATTGCATGATTCTGACCTCACGACCAGCGGCGTTTCTGGTTGGACATTTGGTTACTAAAAGAATCCACCCGGTGCATATAAAAAAAGCCCTGCGTCGCGTCGCGAGTAGTACCCTATGTGTCAGAGGAGAGAGCTCGGCTGTCCGAGTCTTTAAGCTGTCGGCCCCAGTGCCGAATTTGTACCGCGTTTGTATATATGCTGTACATAAACCTTGTTTAACTCACCGTCATCTCGTTTGCTCGTCTATCAGCTCTGCGCAGAAGCAGTCACGAGCTGAAAAACCTACACTACCAAACCGCTGGTGACCTTCTCGGCGGAGTTCGAAGCAGTGGCGCCTTCGGGACCGTGTTGGCGTCGCCGTCTTTCGTAACAGTGGAGTCAGCGATGAGATTTCGTGGTGCCCTTCGTAACGTCGTCGGAGGCGCGCTTCGTAATAGTATATACTAGTTCACTGTATTCATGGCACTGCGGCTCAACGCTCGCTAAACCTTTCAAACACTAAGGAGGTTACGCCCAGCGAGTATAACGTAGCAACCATTTCTTGTCAGATAGTGCTCAATGTACATGCCAATGGCTGCTAATGGGGAATGAGAGACAGGAGAATTCGGCTTTTGCTTCGTGTCTGCCTCCCATGTTTAAACCCCTCGAGTTCATGGTATATACTAATTCACTGTATTCATGGCACTGCGGCTAACGCTCGCTAAACCTTTCTAACACTAAGGAGGTTACGCCCAGCGAGTATAATGTAGCAACCCTTTCTTGTCAGATAGTGCTCATTGTACATTCCAATGGCTGCTAATGGGGAATGACAGACAGGAGAATTCGGCTTTTAGTTAACGCGCACGCTGCGAATTTTTTCATTGTTCAATAACGCACAGGAGAAACCTCCCACCAGCACCACCTTGCAGGTCGAAACGTAAGACTGGTTACGCACTACGACGAGGGACGAACGGGTGCCGCTTTAAAAAGCTTCGCCCCTAAAAATCAAACACGTGACATGAACACATGCACGCCTGTGCACGCTCTCATTCTATACCACTCCCAAACGTTCCACCTACAAACAGTACGCTTCCCTCGCACTGCTTCAGGGCAGCGGTAAGCAGACGCAGGAGTGATCACTTATGTTATCACTACTGCCAGCTAAACGGGCGTGATTGCACAGCCGTCACCATCATCGCTGCCTTACCAAGGCAAGATAAGGGCCTAACGCTAGGGTCGTTTGCATGCGGAGCGTTAGAGGGCGGTATAGAATCATTGCACGCACTGGTGCGCGAACGGGCATATCACGTTGTATATTAAATTTTATTTCGCGGGCTTCAGTAGTAAGCAGAAAAACACTAATTCTTGATAGATATATAAAAACTGTTTAATCGGCAGTATTTAAACCAATCCGCCCCTTTCTCAATGTATTTTTTCCCAGTTTCACTGCTTGAAAATTTGGTTTATCGAAACGGCGTAATGAATAAATTATTCAGAACAAAAACAATAGTCTGTCCTTCTTCAAGCGAAAGTCAGCGATATGTATTTGGTCTCGTCGTCAACGAGTGCATTGGCATATAGTTTTAAACTGTGGCTAAAGGTAGCTGGAACATCCTGTATGACTTGCTTGTTTTTAACGTTTAAACTGATAACACGTATCCGGGGTCTTGAGAATTCGGAGAAAATTACGAGGAAGATTTTTCCAAACGGCAGAAACAATACATTCATATTGTGGAATTTTTCACCATACTCCCTCATTCCCCTCTGCCCACGTGTAGGGTAGCAAACTGGACGTAGTCTAGTTAACTTCCCTACCTTTCCGATATTCCTTTTCTCTCTCTCTTACAATACTTTGAGCTAAATATTTTTTCAGGTCGCTTTACTTCGTGGTACAAAACGTTGCGTTAAATTTATCACGTTAATGAATTACCAGACGCAGGCTCGACATCGCGTTCATTTGGACCACTTAACGTTCATTAGTGTGCACGAAAATTATTTTCAAATAGCGTGGCTGTTACAGCTAGACGTATAATATCATGACTGAATATTAACGCCATCTGGGACCGGAACCTCTCTATTCGTACTATTCTTCCTCTTCCACTTCGCAGTACCCAGCGGAAGAGCAGTGGCTATGGTGCTTGAAAGCTGTCCAGGAGGTCGCGGGTTCGATGCCGACCTTGGTGGTCACATTTAGATGGAGGCGTAGTGGTAGAGGCTCATGTTCTGCGTGATTTTAGGGCACGCTAACGAGCACCAAGTGGTGGAAATTTTTGGAACCACCCACTAGACGTCTCTCATAATCGCATCGTCGTTTCGGATTGTAATACACCCGATATGGTTATTACCTTCTGCTTCGCTCACGGAATACATGTTCGGATTGTTCCAGATTCAGCAAGGGGGAGCAGAAAGTGAAAAATAGATGTGAGGAGGAAGGGTAACAAACAAATAGGGGGATAGAAACAGAGTGACGGACAGATACAAAGACTTAAATACAGAGAACATCCTGGCGAAAAAAAATCCTTACGGGACTGCGGGATTTAAAGCCGCACACCCATGATACGAAGGCTAGTTTCACGAAAACAAAACAATGACTAGGTATAGACTGATAAACTGCACTCTTGTAACTCTATACCGTGACAAGTTTCACCATCATACGCTCGTTATTGGAGAATAAAATCAAGGTTGCAGTTTCATTTTAAATTTAACGCTGAAAATTTCGCGGGCGACACCATGAATTTTAGAACGGATTTTTTCGCTGCAGTGACTCGACCAATTCTGAAACTTCGTATGTTAGGTATGTGACCCCCACTGATGACGATGTAGCCTATTTTTACCTAATCGAGAACTACGTAGGGCTTGCACTATTCGCAAGTTCCATAGACTATCACGCCACCCCGCGGCCACCAGGGTAACTTTTTCAAAGATTATCGCAGTAGCAGCGGGGCAGCGGCACTCCTAGCATATGTACGTCTTAGTTGGCGTTGGGCTTTCACTAGAACGTTTCTATTGTAGTTAAAGGGCATACAAAGGCCACTGAAATCTTTGCACAGTCTTCGTTAGCGAAAGAGGTGCACTTTTCCGACACAGCGAAGTAACAACTGAGACGCTTATTTGCGTTATTGTGCACCAGTGAGTACATTTAGTGCGTCATTTGTGCATGAGAAACGCGGGGCACGCTTCGATCTGCTTGCCATTCGGCGCGTGACCTTCTGATTTGTTGCTATAGCGTTCATTGCTTCGCCTTTGCGCCAAAGGCGTGACTTCTTTCGAAAACGAGTCAAAAATATCGGCATTGCGATAACATAGTGAAATCTTACATAGGTAAGTATCCACTCACAGCTGAGAACACAAAATGAAATACTGAATGTTATAACACTATTTTGGGTTTTGCGTGACAAACCAAGTAATGATCGTGAGGTACGCCTTTAGTGGAAGGCAACGTGCATGGACTTCTCATACCACAAAAAGTGACGTGTTTGGCATTCAGGACCTCTTCGCCTTCAACGGGCCATCATTTCCGAGTTTCTGAAGCGTCTAGGTGGCGCATATAATGCGACTGCAAAGAGGATAGAAAAAAAAACAATGCCGTGCAGGCTGCACATGTGCTCAGCGACTCCGATACCCTCTGAGGGCGTCATATTTAACCACCCTGTGCGCCCCCTATAGGCGACGAAACTTGCGTATAGACACGGCCAAACTTGATGCCGTCATCCTGTTCCGTGTGGGCATGTCAAGGTGCGTTTACATCCGCGTTCTTTTTTCGTGCGTTCGCCTGCTTAACGAGTGCCGTCTCGCTGTAAGAGCGTTTTCGGGATTGTGGAATTGTGCTCAATTAATACGCAACAGATCCTTTTTTTTCTGTTCAGTGTCCCTCTAACCATTCGGGTATCGAAGCACTCCCCTTTTTTTTAGGCTGTCGGTGCAAGTGAGAAATTAAAGCATAGCCTTGTACAGCCACGTGTAAGCTTGTTAAGCAAGCGTTTAATTTAAGAGAAAGGACGGCCAAGATGGGGAGTTCGTGAGGAGAGAGAGCAAGATATAGAGTACGAAGAACGAGAGAATTAGAAAGGCGTGTGCGAAGAGAAAGAAAAAATAACTAATCAAAGGAAGACAGAGAGCAAGAACGTGAAAACCGGAACCGATCGAGAAGTCGAGAGAGAGAGAGGCGGAAGCTACTTAAAAAGAGATCAAACGAGAAATAAATAGGAAGAAAATGACAGAGAAAGACAGAAATAAAAAATAAACGCAGACAAAAGCAACAAACATGAGAGAGAAAAAAGAAAAGGACAGAGACGTAGAAAGAAGGGCAAACTAAAGAGCAACAAAGAAGGCCACCCAACTCTACAGAGAGATGCAGCGAAATGAACTACCAGGTCGCCCATCTTAAGGTGAACGGCTCGTGCATCACCATTCGAAGCTTTGCGGGACTTCGCGCAAACTTCCAGCGTATTCTTGCTTCCGGGAAGTCTTGTATATATTTATTCTAATGTTCGCGTTGTGAAACACAAAACTTACCAGATCACTGTACCAGCTGCGCTATCACTTCATATTTGGTTTATTTAGGTGAGAAGAAGCCAGAAAAAGTACTGAAACAGTGCTTTCCGCGTAATATGAAGTGTCTGGTCGAATGGAAGCACCAGAGATGTCTTTTGCATTCATTAGGGGAATGCGCTAAGGAACTTAGGAGTTTCTTGTTGCGTTTAGCTCATCGCATTCCCTACTCTTCGTAATTGCATTAGAGCATATGTCTATTGAAACCGCTTGCGCTGAATCACGCTGTTGACGAAAAGAGATATCAGTGTTTTGCGGTTGGTGTAAATTATTAGGCGAAACGTCAGAGCTCCTACTCACCGACCCGCTTTTTCGTGTCTTTTCTCACTGGTCAGCCAACATCGCTAATGCTATTTACCTTGAGCGGTATAGTGAAAAAAAAATGTTACGATGATTCTTAGCGCAATAATTTTTTTGTGAATACCGGTAAAGATCGTGCCGCATTTTTTTTTGCACAGGTTTATAGCGGTCACACATTTGCGAGAGGATGCCAGAATTGACGACACAAGCTGTGAATTCAGTGGGCTCCAAGATGACTGTAATGTCTTGGGTAAGCCTTTCAGAGTTTCAACTTTTGTATGTGCATTCAGTGCAGTACCTTCGCATCGCCCGTCTCGCAACAAAAGTACAAGGCGTCTTTTTTTGTCCATTCTCGTCAGTGCATGCTGTTTTCGCCTCGGTATAAGTACCATGGTTGCAACGCAGGTTTATGTATGACACTTCATTGAATGTTGTTAGGTCTAGGACGTTTTCCTAATAACAAAGTTTTAGCTTTATGCTCTTTTATGCCATTTGGTACATGAAGACAGATTGAAGGGTTCATGCACTGCACAATGCAAGCACTAGAATATAGATGCTCGAGACAACGCTGGCATTTCAACTGAACTTTATTTAAAAAGGGTATATCCTAGATCGCCACTAACGCATGTGAAAAGAACGAACAATGTTGAAATAACGGAAACTTGTTCACATGAAAGAATTATACACATCTCCTAAAGGAAACCATGAATAGCATGTGAAGCATGTGGTCTGTAAAGTGAACAGCGAATGGAAGGCTATCTTGCTGATCTTGCTGCCGAGGTTGTAGCTTGGAGCTGGAGAAGACGAGGTCTACGTATGCACGTTCCCCTGATTGCAGTAGGCTGTTCCTGATAGTACGAAATGCGCCGGAAAGCGTTACTGAACACCATGCGCTGAATTTGCCATTCGTCATTCTTTCAACATCATCATCATCGTCGTCGTCGTCGTCGTCGTCGTCGTCGTGGTCGTCGTCGTCGTCAGCCTGACTGCGTCCACTGCAGGACAAAGGCCTCTCCCATGTTCCGCCAGTCAACTTGGTTCTGTGCTTGTTGCTACCACTTTATACTCGCAAACTTCCTAATCTCATCTGCCCATCTATGTTTCTGTCTCCCCTAACTCGCTTGTCTTCTCTAGGAATTCAGTCAGTTACCCTTAATGACCAGTGGTTATCCTGCCTGCGCGCTACATGCCCGGCGCATATCCATTCTTTCTGTCAACGTTAATGTCCCAGGTGGATACAAATGTGTTGCCCTTGAACGAGGGTGTCATAGTGCATCATCGCCTTTTCGATGTACCTTCCTTTCTCGTTTCGTTTGGAGAGGTTTGCATCAAGATACATTATTATTATGATGATATTGCTGGTTTCGGTTCTTGAGAATGTTATGGCGCTGTGCTCTTTGTGGTGGCGTTGCCTGGTCATGGGTAGATCGCGATCTACTGTCGTTTGCGGTTGTTTGACGTAGATCGTGACACCACCAGCAAGGCGTTCTGCATACTTTCCAGCTGTGCGCGAAGCTCCAGTCCAGAAACTGGCGCTTGAACTATGTGTACGTGGCATGCGTGCCTGCTTGCAGCAGTTGCTTTTAACATCTGGCGGATTCTTGCAATTAAGAATCCGCCAGGATGTTATAGCTCTCCAAGAAACCTATGTGAGGAATGACGAGCTCAGATTTTCGGATTTCGTGGGCGTTCACGGCAATACCCGATGCACGGTAATGGCGTGTGAACCTTTCCAGTGTACAGACACCACGCATCCACGAAATGCTTCGAAAGCGACATTGTACATAAGATCTGATGTTTATTTCGCAGTAATTGACGCAAGTGACCTCTGCGACTCCGACTTTGCATGTGTAGCAGTTACTATTAATCCCAGGAACGCAACTACGACTGTGGTAAGGATATATTTTGCTGGAGTGCCTGCCATCTCGGTGTAGCTCGTCATTTCTGCTGTGTGGAGATTTCAATGCCCATCATCCTCGTCGGTGTTGTCGCCCACAAGACAATCTTGGAGTGTAAATCAATGAGCTTTATTGTTAAACATGTTCTGCAGACCCTTAATGATGGCTCATCCACATTTGTCGGCTGAGGAAAGGAACAATTCACCATTGATCTTGCCATAGAAATGAGAGATGTGCGTCTTTTTTGATCAAGCGAAGCTGACCCGTGTGGTTCAGAACATCTGCCCATGTGGCTGGTTCCAGAAAATTTTCCTAGCAATCAGAGTGCTGCATACACAGTGACAAATTGGGACAAGTTCCGTCAGCTGATTGCGGGGGCGCCATCACACGATAACCTGTTCAAACTAGGGAGTGAAGGTCTGCAGCAAGCTACAGTACGACGACTTCGAAGCATAGACAAGCCAAACCCTGACCTAAAGCTCTTGGGACTACGTGCTTCTCGACAACGTGCTTACAGGAGGGCACAGCGTTCCAAAAGAAGCTCTGACTGACACTTTAGAGTCGCTTAGATACAGCCATAATAGGCGGCACACAAAACAACTTCGTTGTAGAAGCTGGGCCGCATTGTGTAGCTCTGTTCATATGGCGAGTAGTTTTGTGAGTGTATGGCGCATATTGAAGGCTCTCCGAACACCTGAAGTCTGCAAGAACCCAACTACAGCAATGGTGCATCACAACTGGACGGCCTCTGAAAATTCTTGCAGAAGTTTTGCCAATATTTTTACCTGTCCTATATGAAAAGACAACGCCAGTCATCGTTCCGTAACACTTTTATATGGACCTCCATGTGAGATGGATGAGGCAGAATTTACCCTGGCTGAGCATGCGTCATGCACTTACTCTCTGTTGCCGTCGCACTGCCCCAGGCGAAGACTGGTGTTAGGTACCAAGCCTTGCGAAACATTGATGAGGTCTTTCATTAAACTATCCTGGACGAAGACAACAAGTGTTGCAAACGAGTCTGATTCCTTCTGAATGGAAATCGTCTTAGGTGAAGCCAATTTTAAAGCCTGGTTGCCCTGCACAACTCCTGAAGTCATACCGGCCAATATCACTTACTTCTAATGTTATGAAGCTGATGGAGCGTATGGTGCTGTTTCGTCTGGACGCCACATTACAGGAGCTCACTTTCATTCCCTGATGTCATGAGCCAATTTCGTCGCCACCGTTCAGCCCTCGACAGCATAGCAGATCTTGTATCATCGGCTTGAATCTGCTCGAGAAAACAGACATTCAGCGTATGTTCTATTTTCGACATACAGCAAGCGTTTGACTCGGTGCCACATAAGGCCATTATTTGTGCACTGATGAATGGAGGAATTTCAGGTCGTCTATTACGTTTTCTCCGTGATTATCTATCTTAGCGCAGAATAAAAGTGCACACTTGGAGAAGTACAGAGTCAACTTCATGCTGTTAAATGTGGCGTCCGGCAAGGCAGCGTATTGTCACCGCTTCTCTTTAACAGCGTACTTGCTGACTTGCCAGGCCGATTACCGCAATAATGTGACTTTCCTATAGGCATAGCAATTTATGCTGATGACATCGCACTCTGGGTCAGTGGTCCGTCACACCATGGTCCACGTCTTCATGGTATATTGCAGCGAGCTCTGAATGCAACTTCAGAATGCTTGGTGGAAGTTGGCCTGCAAGTTTCACCTGCGAAGTCAGCTGCAATCACGTATCATCCAAAGCAACGTGCTCGTCGAAGCCTTAGCAGTCTTTACCTCGGAGACACACCGATACAGTGGGTACACCAACATCGCTACCTGGGTGTAATCATCGATGATCGCCTTTCTTGGCGCCCTGCTGTTAAAACTGTGAGGAAGAAATCGCTGTTCCTGTTCAAGTATGTAGCCGCCTTGACTGCTAGGGGTGAGGGCATTGATCAGAGGACGGCGCTACAGGTTTACCAACCAGCTTTAATTTCTTGCGTGATGTATGCTTTGCCAGTCTTGAACGTACCACCAGCTTGAATGTCTCAGCTCGAACGCGAACATTTTGTTGCCATCCGAGTATTGTTTGGCTTACCTCATGAAGCACAATACATTCCACTACTGACTGAAGCACACCATTTGCCTCTAAGGATTCAAACTGACCAGAGAGCGCTACATCATATTGAGCGTCTGAACGGAGCCCCACATGGCAAGACACTCCTTAACAGGCTGTTACAGCGCCCACTTTCTCGTATGGGTAAAATGGCTGCTTTGTTCAATGACATTACAGGCAATTCTGGCGAAACTATTCAGTTGCCAATATCGACAGAGCACAGGCTATGTGCCTTCCCTACCCATCTGTCAATTCCACGAACACGCAAAAAATGTGACCAACCTGTCTCGGAACTAGGTGTGAAATGGAGGGATTAGGGGTGAAATGGGGTAGGATTGCTTTAGATTGCATGTTAGCATCATACTGCTGCTGGTTCTTTACGCGTGCATTGGTGGTGTTTTAGGATATACCGCCTTTCAGTAAGCTTAAGGGGTCTCAGCAAGACTTACTGAGCGTGGTCAGTAAACGCTGTCATTTGGTAGTCGAGGCTCACCAAAACACGCGGGCGCAATATTATAGCGCAGTGCGCGGCCTCAAATTCCCTGTAACTCGCCATGTTAGTCTTGTGGCTAAGGCACTTGGCTGCTGATCCACAGGCCGCTTATGGAGTCCTGGCGGTGGTTGCCGCATTCTCGATGGAGGCGAGAGTGCTTGAAACCAGTTTTACTCAGATTTAGGTGCTTCCGGGTTATTGAAATTTTTTGGAGCCATCCACTACGGACTCCTTTAGAAGATGTAACTCATGGCACTGCGACACAGTCACAGATCACTGATAAAATAAGGGAAAAATAAACTGACCAAGTTTATCCTGATACACAAATATCAGTTCGGAAGATATGCTATATTTCGCTCAAAACATGCGGCAATGAAGCGTGTTGCCGCTTTAGGCCAGCTCATGTGGCATTTCACTTTTCCTGAATCTCTCGGTTTGACATTCGTATACCAATTTCAGTAGACATTTCTTTGTACAGTAGCAAGTTCTATACGTGGATCGTTCTTGTGCCGGTATACGCACATATGTAATAGCACAAGTATTTATAAGTATGGTTCGATGTTTCTTGGTTTTACTGTGTAAATATGTGAGCAATATTGACTAAGCAACTATCTGTTATTTACCCACATGGAAACTATCTATAGACGGTGTTCTGTCAATTTCGCACAAACACCTATAAGTAACACGTAACGACAAAGGCGAGTTAAAACACACTTGCCCCCGTATCCCAAGACAACTCGTTAATTAACATA